TGTGGAGTTAAGGCTTTGAAATCTTTAAGATTTGCTCATTCTGAATATCAGTGTTACATTTGACAATATAAAAGTCTTATCTATAAATGTAATTAAAATTCAACAGAAATCCATAAATGACCTGCAATCATTAGTACTTCTTGACAGTGAGATCATAAATCATTTGTGAAACCTTATTGAAAACCCAAGGAAAATAGCTTTTCCCTTTGACATGCTCTAGGACATGACCTTCAGTGTTCCTGTTCTACACGAAGTTAGTAGTCAATTGTAAGAACTTTTAAAGTTAGCAGTGCTTGAGTGTTCTCAAGAATGTGATAAACTGCCCTTATTTCTCAAACCTTTGTACAGCAAGTATAGTATTAGTTGCCTCGTTTGACCTGTTTGATAAGCAAAAGGAAGATGTTGCCTGTGGCAAACCTTCCTACTTTGACAAGACCAAGGCCACAATGCTCCTTCACTCTATGGACTCTGAAGTTGTTTCACATTTTCTGTTAATAGTCTCGCATCTTTTCTGCTTTCATTTGGTTTTGCCACTTGACATACTAATAAGGCTTAGATTAAAATGCACTGCAGCAGATGCAGGGGACAGTATGTTGTCTGACGCTAGGGACAGAAATAAGAACTTCAGAGCAAAAGGCATATATCTTCAGCTTGAGATGAAGAACTAGCTTCAAGGTAGGAGGTTATCAACTGTCCCATCAAGTATACTATGTATGACACACCAAGTCATCCTACAGATGAATAATTTGGAGAATAGAAAAAGAATGGGGATTACCTAAGGAAACGGGGGGGCCTGTGGCAGATGGGTGATTGAACCATTGCGTATATGTAGTAGGAATCTGAATTCCAAAAACGCAGATCTGCCTCTGTAGTGTCTTAGAGGTCCCTTAGCAATATGATTCAGAGGTGCTCAGCATATTTAAGAATGAATATGTTCAATCTGTTAATATAAAAATTGAGTTTAAAAATTTTTGAAGTCCCCTCGCAGTTGCTTTATTATGCTACCTTTACTCAGAATTGATCAAGTTAAGCTAGTGTGCCAAATGTATTTTTTCTCAGGAGCAAATTAGATCTGTTCTCAAGTGCTGTGCAATGATTTCTACGTTAACACTCTTTCTTGTCATAGCAGCACTTCAGCAATTCAGCAAGGTGGGCTTTTATGCCTTTTTGTGAGGGATGTTTTTTTACATTTCATCTCTCTGCTGTGCCTAATATGTAAACATGAGGGACAAAGGAGTGGTCAGTGTTTCCATAATGGCATGGCCCCTGGTGGGCTCATACATATTCACTTATTATTAAATGGTTCACATGCCTTTAAACCCATCACTTACTGGAGCACAGATCAGTCACAATTTGCATTTTGCTTGCTATTCCAGTTTTTAAACTCATGAGTTCCCTGCCTAATGACAAGAATATTTATACAGGTTAATTGATAAAATCTCTTCAACATAAAGTGCTCTAGGAAACTATTTCAGAACATTTACATGTGGTATTAACATCTCATTATTTTATTTAACACCCTCGGAGCAAGTGAGGATGTAGGATGAATGGAATATGTTTTCTAATGACATTTTCTCTAGAAAAGCTCATCTATTTCTCTTCTAACATACTTAGCTGTATGTTTTCTTTTGCTTAAGAACTAAGCATCCTTAAAGATCTAAGCATACAGCTATTTCAATACCCACCATCAAAATATGAATTCAAACAAAGCAGTTGCTAGATTTTTGAATACTGAATGCTTTCAATTGATTATTGTATTTTAGAGTGAGTTTGAATAGCAAATTAAAAAAACAATTAACAAAATCATCAGATTTGCTGTATGATCATAAGCAATATGTAAACAGCAATAGAGTCCAAATTTGTAAAATAAATGATTCATTATATGATCATATATTATATGAATCATATATTATATGATTCCCTACATTTGCAGTTGTTCTTGTTTACCTGAGGACAGTTTTCTATGAACTTACATCATGATAAATATGTCCTTAAAGCAGGGAAACAAAGAGATAAAATAGATTGTTGGAATTTGTTGTGGAATAAGTCAATCATTGTAAGAACTTTAGTATCTCAGGTTCAGGTTCTATTATTGTATTTTATGCTGTTTCTTCACATAGTCTGTAAAGCACTTACCCTGCTGATTTTTTTTCCTATGTTAAGTGCTTCAAACTGGGTCATTTCAAATCACCTCAGTTATTATTTTTTTGGCAGCAGACTGAAAGCAAAACCTTGTACTTTTCTGCTCAAGTAGGAGAAGGAAGACTAATTGATGTTATCATAAATGGGAATGAAGCTAAATACTTGTCCTCCTCTATTGAATTGAATGAAGCAGAGTAGTTTTGTCAATAGGAAGTTATGATGCAAACCAATTAACACGAGTCCTGCAGTCCTGGGAATGCAGTATCACCTTTTCAGGCTCCGGACAAGTCACTGTGAAAGTTAGGAGGATATGTTTGTCCACAAGTTTATATAATATAATAATGCTTATCTTTTTCATGTTTAATAAACACAAATGTCTTTCAAGCAGATATTTTAGTGGACTAGTCTTCAATCAACAGATCAAATTATCTAATTCCCCTCTTTCTGATATAAAAATGCTGTCTTCTTTTTCCTAGATTTTCTTAAAAGATGAGGAAGTGGCTTTCCATTTAGTTCTGTCTTTTGCCTCCTGCTCTAACGTAATTCCTTTTCGTAGTCTCTTCCATTTCTTACATTCCTTCCTCACTTTCCATCTCTAAACAAAAGAAAAAAATTACTTGTCACTTTTCTCTGGCAAACACCAACAACTGGAAAAATATCTGACTAATTCTTATCTATTATATATATATAATTTTAACTATTTTTTTAATATATATATTTTGTTTAGCTTGTCTTTTGAGTCATGCCCACAACCCCTCACTTTCTTGATGTTTTAATGTCAGCCAAATGTTACTGCCAGCTATGGGGTTAAAAGCTCCTGAAGAGGAGGTTGGTGTGTGGATGGGAAATCATCAGAACCAGTTGTTCTAAATAGTGGTTTTGGTATCATTATTAGTTTTGTCTAATGTGTAAATGCTGGGCACTTGAGAATAATTTTAATGAAAATGGAATTCTAGTCACAACAGGGATTTACTGACCTACCTATCTCTTGCTGTTGAACTTCAATATTTAGGCATCACATTACTGCATTCAGAATTTCCTGTTTAAGTCCTATTTTATGCTCTGACTACCAAATCCTTCTGAATTCTGAGGCTTGCATCCAGACATCATTACAGTCACCCAGCCCTGACAGTCCCAAGCTTCTTGCAGCATGGTTATTACAGAAATTCTATAGGACAACAGCAACGGGTCCTGATTTGAGAGGAGTTCACAGAACACAGTGGCTCTCCCTCTGCTCCCTTTTTCTGTGCAGCTGAGAACAGACTGTCACACTTCAATTCCTCAGTGCTTTCCCAGGATCTCTTGGCATGAGTTTTGAGTATTTCTTAAGCAGGAGGTGGTGACTTTAATAGTACACAATTAATTTTTTATTACTTTGCATTTAAATTCTTTTTCATTACAAGTTCATTTCTACTGCCCAAAACATAAGTGGCAAGAAGTTCCTTAAGTCAACATGTCTCTTGTAAGTACTTTGGTTTTGAATCCAGCTCCTGTCTGTTTCATGTGATGCTTCTTAATTTTTGAATTAAGAAGGAAAATGAATATTCATGTTCTGTTATCCTTCTGCATTCTAATTATAATGCTATTATCATACCTATGTGTCTCTTCTCCTTAATCATGAATTTCTTAGTCCATTAAGCTATCTTTCATACATATGTCCTTCTATACCTTTTCCTCTCCTTCCTAACTTTCTTTAAATCATGTCCTTAATCAGGCTATGATTTATTTTTTTTTCCTTCCCTTTCAACTTTTAATTCTGTAGTCCTGTGTAATGCTGTATGCTTACTCTCTGTGAAAGAAGTTGAGGAGTGGACAGATGAAGGTGTCTGACTTCCAAAACACTTTACTAGTTGCCTCTCCTAATTCCATTTCCCTGTCTCCTTAATAGTTCTACATTTCTTGAAAGCCCAGAGTTTTTCAAAGGAGAAGTTTTTGCTTTCCATCCCTTTTGCAGTAAATACTTTTTGGTCCTCAAAAATATTGCATAACAATTAAAGCTGGTAAAGTGTTATTATTTATCACATTCTTTAAATATACTAGATCTGCTAAGGACATCATCAGAAATCAATGAAGAGCTGCAGGTTTTTGCTGTAAGTTTTCACTGAATAATTCTAATGGGAGATTTTCACACTGGGTGTCATTCACAAAGTTTTGGTTTTATTCTTTGTTATTTATTTATTTGGGCTGACCAGGTTTGTTAGATAAATCACTTGATATTATTATTAAATATTTATAACAATTTGGTTTTGTTCTTTGCTTATATGGATATTTTCTGGATCTTTCCCCCTCACTTCAGTCCCAATCTTCTGAAAATGTGGCGAAAAAAAACGCAACAAAACCAAACTTTTTTTCAAGATGTTTATTTCTGTAAATAATTGATACTGAACTGAAAAAGAATTGGTCTGTGGGTAAACCTAACCTTAGAAAACTTCTCTCCTTTGCAGTAAACTTAATGAAGAACAAAGACTCTTAGAAGTTGTTGCTTATTTCATTTCTAAGAGTATTAAATGTAAATCTAGCAGACTTGATGAACACATGATTAATATTTAACTCCAAGGGGCCAAAGAGCTTATATGGTCTGTTTTATTATTGTTTAAGATTCAAGCAAGTGCTACATAGAATAACAAGCATCATAATTAAGAAATGTGATCTATTTTTTTTCCTGGAGGCTCTGCTCAATTTGATTCCAATGACACACCAACACCCAGGGGTACCAGGGCTTTTGAGCCTTACAAAACTGCTTCTGTCCAGGAAGAGAAACACAGAGAATGACACAGAGCTGGGAGGGGGCAGAGAAAGATTTTTATTGGAAGCTGTTAAAGTGGTTGCTATGAGACCTTCTCCTGCTAACAGGCACAGCAGCGAGTGTGAGGCTGATAAATCGTACCTCTTGCATTATACCTTTCCTTTCTGCTTTTTTTTTTTTTTTTTCTAACACAGCTTTTATAGTTGTTTAAGATCAGGGAAAGCACCTGCTAGTTGCTTTTTCTTCCCTTTTGCTCCCTTCTTCTGCTTCGTGCAAGATGGAGCTAGAAAATGAAATGATCAGCACCTCCAGCAATTCTTCAGCAGGCTCCAGAGAGTACAAGGTGGTGATGCTAGGAGCAGGGGGAGTAGGCAAAAGCGGTAAGTTTGAACAACAGTATTTTGGGGGATAAGGGGTGAATGGGGAGTGTGAAGTTTACAGAAAAAGAACGTTTTTTTAATGAAGGTTTTCTTTTTCCTCTTTCTGTTGCACGTGGCTTGGATAAAAGACAATAATTCATAATTGGGGCAATGAGTCAGCTTTATTTGTTACAGACTGAAATATAAGACTTTATAATTGGATATTTTTATAAAACTAACCTTGGCTCTGCTGTATATGAGGAAAGAGTGGTCAGCTTGCTGTTGTGAGTTTAACAGCAAGTGGTCACATCACTCTAACACTTGGTGAGGGGTGATGGTTTGCTGGTTAATGTGGATGTAACTTGTTGGCCTGCTGGTCTTTGCGTCCAGGCAGAAATGAAACTAGCTGCAAAGTCAGCTGTATAGTGGAAAGTGACTTTCTTCCCCACACCTTCTTTAGACTTTTTTGCTGAGTGTCATTATGGCTCAGCTGGTGTTAGTCTCCTCTCTGTCCAGACAGTTAGAGAATGCATGTCTTACTCTCACTCCAGGAGATAAGGTAGATTTGCAGCATATTTTAATATCACTGTTCAGTGCTGGCAAGATATGCTGGTGTCTGACAATGATATCTCTTCAGAGGAGTCATTATTTTCTCCAGACAATGTTTTCTTTTTCCCAGATATTATCACCTTTGATTTATTCTCACTGACACTAGCATTCTCTGTTCTTAAAAAGACTTTGCTGAACGTGCAGTGTTTGTCTCAGAAGCCAGTGTATTGAGCTAGCCACACAACAAGCATCTGATTGCATCTTCTGGAAATTCAAAAGAAACAGAAGAAAAAAAACCCAAACAATATAACATATCCAGGCTAAATTCCAAAGACATTTCAGGATAAATAAGCTGCGACACAAAACTGTAATAAATGTTTAGATCAAACAAGTTTTATTTTCCATTCAAACAACAAGACAAGGTATAGATGCAAAAATCTAAGTATTGGGAGTAGATATAATTTCCTCTCTGTGTCCACAGTCTCTGTTGTTGTGTTATATTTGGCTTCAACTTCACTGGCACATTTTTCAGTGAAACCTATATCCCATCAGTATAGTTTAAGCAAGCAAACAATTTTTGCACAGATGTTATGTTATGATCACTATATAAAAATAGAAAGAAGAAAATATTGGTCAACTCAGAATAACTTTCTGTAATTTCAAATTATCTTTTCCACAGTATAGCAGGTGTCCAGGATGTGTCAGCTGGAACGTGTAGTATAATGTCACTTTTTTTTTCTTCCTTCTTTTTTTTTTCTTTCCTCTGAGTGCATCCAAAAGATGGCAGCAATTTTGCCCAAACATATTATTGTAAGAACAATGTCATTTTGAAGACTCGTTCACCAAAACAAAGATATTACAAACTATAACACATTCATAATAAAATTGAATCTTAAGAGCCAAATTTTATATACACATAGAGGAAATTTTAGAGTTCCCATTAAGAGTTTGAAAGCACAAATGAAGTTCATTTAAATCTCCCTGTTCAGAAAATATTAGCTGTTGATTTAATAAGAATAAAAGCTGTGGATTACATAAAATAATGATACATCTCCAAAGCTAAGGAACCACATAATTATTCAAGAAGAATTGGGTGCCTATGTAGTCTAGAGAAATAATAATAGGATGAAGTGAGTAGGTATGACATTCAATGGGGATTAATGAAAATCTTCTGTTATTTTCACAAAAATGAAACTTTCGGGGGGAATAACAACATGTAAGAATTGCAAGTCTAGAAGAAAGGAGCTGTGTTCTTTGTCGTTTACTGGCTATGAACTTCCAGTGTGGAATCGGCGTGAGATATTTCAATAGAATCCTGAGAACTGATAGAATTCTGATAAAGACAAGGAAAAATTGATGTCATTCCACAAATCATGAATTCTTCTGACTGTTGTATAGGTAGGATTAATTTACTTTGTATTAAATACAGGAAAAGGCCTGGATGTCTACTTTCATTCTCCAAGCTGAGCTCTCCTTTCCCCTAATGTCCTAGATTCAGTCTGTCCAGGAAATCATGAATTTAACCATAAAACAGTGTCAGAGTAGAATAAGGAGGAGAGATTTTAAAAAGTGTAATTTCCAATTTAGAGTTTGACAGATAAGTGATACATGGGATGATGTATTGATAATATCCTGGTTTCTTTCCCCTTCCTTTCCCTCCTCCTTTTCTATGTCATGATAAAAGCAGTAACAACTGGGATTAGGTTGCTGAGTGGCAAACCTCTTTTGGATGAAAGCCTTTCCATTCCTCATTTTGTCCAATATTAAATAATTCAGGTTTGGAATGAGTTTTCCTAAGGAATCAAGCTGCAGAAATGTTAGATTTCTTTTTGCTCTGGACATAGTTCATTTCTAGGGATCGCCTGGGCTTTTTGACCTTGTTTCCCACCCTCTTTTGCTCTCTTACTGTGCCACTTCGTGCTGTGTGTATGAAGGTCTTTGCATTGAAAATTGCATGCTCGTTACAAGGGGCAGCGAGTGGTGACTGCACATGTGGACAGGAAGGAATGAGGAAGAGGACACCAACAGTGAGTGTTGTTTTGATGCCGGTGTTTATAGAATATTTGCTTTGGGTTTTGAGGCTTGTGTCTTTATTTTTGTACTCTAGAGGACAGCCAACTATGGGACAGCCCACAGTTATTTGGACTATTGAGTCTAGAGATTTCACAGCACATCCAAGTCACATCACCTGCCACATTCAGAGTATTGATGTGTAAACTGAAAATGGCTTAAAAACTGTTATATAAGGGTACTCACATTTCAAAATCAGTGCCAGAAAAATAAATAAATAAATACATAAATCTCTGCCACTATCTTATTGGAGCAAAACCCACACCTATTCACAACAAACGGGTAATAGTAGTGATTAATTAAAACATACAAAGCTATATGTAAATTTTACTGGGAACTTCTGCACCATAATTATAGCTTATAGATTCCCTAGAATGAGTTATCCCTTCTAAAGCTTCTGAAAATATAACTATTTTTGTTTTCAGGGCACTATGCTAATTTATTACTTTGTGTAGGTTGTGTCTGACATGAAGAACAGTTACACACTCTGCTGAAAATTAGGCTAGAACCAGGAACTAAACCAAAATGAAATACAACAAAATTAAATTAAATTATCTGCTGACTCTCATTTGATTATAGTTGATACTGACATTACACATTTCTAATGATAGGTAAATTTAAATCTAAAAATAATAATAAAAAAATATTTGGACTTGATCTTCTCTGGTTTGATGACAAACTAAGGTCAGCTCAGTACAGTTCAAACCTACCTCAAGTTGCCTGATGTAAAGTTTAAACCCTAAGAATCTTATTGGTTTTGAAACAGGTTTTGCTTGCAACTACCTTCAGATATCTGCACAGGGACAGTGAACCTGGTGGTCTCATTGTCCCTAGTCTGATGCAGCTCAAAACTCTGGGTTTAGCTTTATTTTTCAGTGTTACAAAAAATACACTCAGAAGAGCCACTACATCCTGAGACCATACATTGTTGTCTTATATTTAGCTAACTAATTACACTAATAACAATAATTAACTGTAGCACATTCCACAAAACATTAACGATAATTAACTGAGGAGCTGAACAATGACTACCAAAAAGAATAAAAAAATTCATGTACCTATGCAACTAAATAAAACAGAAAAATTCTGTGTAATGAAAAATTGTTATTATCTAGGCATTCTTCAAATGCTGATCGGATTGCACGATAACCTAATTTGGCTGAAGGAAAATGTTATTCTATTTTAGTTTCACTTTTTTCCCCCAATGCTAGTTAAAGTTTATTTATTTAAGGGTGAAGACTGACTACTGTTATTCCTGGTAAATGGCAAATTTATCCATAGAATGAGTGTGTCATAGATGCAAAGTGAATTTCATGCTACCTGTCCTGTGGCAGTTGCATTTCAGATGAGGAGAGGAATTCTTTAAAAATTCAAAACCTAAGGAATATTTTTTGTGTGGAAGTTGTTTTTTTACCTTAGACAAAATGTGTATTTCTTTCTCAGACTGATTGCCAGTTTATTTGTTGCCACCCTAAAAAAAATTGGAAGGTTTGTCAAATAATTACCCCAAGATTTTTGTAAAACTAAATATTTTTTGTTTTAATATAAAGGTTTGGAAAACATTTGGCTACATATTTTCAGTCTTAAAAAAAAAATAAATAAAAGAAGGGAAAAGAAGGAAGTAAGAAAAGACTCTCTTAGGGTTGTTAGAGGAAGAGTATGAAGAAATGTATTATTCAGCCCGATCTGGTTAGCAGGATTCATGCTTACCCTATTGCTTTACTTAATTTTTTTATTTTTATTTTTTTTTTTGCCAGTGTGGAACAAATGGTGTATTTCTACAGATACAGGTGACTCATCCAATTAATTTCAGGATCGTGTGTATAAAAAAAGTTCCAAAATGTGTGGAAACAACAATGGTATTTGTGATGTGGGAACTTCTGTAGTAAGAGTTAGATTAAATCCCCGATTTTCTTTTATTTATGTGATCAACTGTCTTTTCTTTTGCCTAGTTTTACTTCTTATTCTGTCTAAAGAAAGAAAGCAAACGGTGCCTATTCATTTCCAGCATGTCCTCAGAACAAGAGTCTCCAGTAAATAGAGACAGCACCATGGAATGTGTACTGGAGAACTGTCTCACTCCAGCTGTTTGTTAATCCTTTGGAGATAAATTAACATATGATGTGGGCTACACTGGAAAAAGATGATGAGCAAAAGTAAAGATTCCACTGATATCAAGAGAGCTGACGTTGAAAATTACCATTTGGGTCTGCTGATGCTGTTCTTACACCACCACAAGACTCAATTTTGTAGAAAACACTTAATAAATTGATGAAACACCTTCTCAGGAGGGTTTTTTTGGTAGGTTTTGGTTTGGTTTTTGGTTTCCCCCAGCATGTTCTTAGGTACATCTATGCTTCCCTAAATGGCTAGCAAATGGATCAAGGGAAAGAACTTAGCTT